AAAATTTTGTGTCAAATTTCTCGCTTCACAAAAGGCTGGGAGTATTTGTGTGACACACAATGGATGGGATGAATGAAATGAAAGGCGGAAAGCTGTCAATCCTTTTCCACAAAAAGTTCGATCAAAAAAGGAAGCGATCGACCAGAAAATCCAATAAATTCATCTCAATTGAATGAAAAGAAATTGAAAAAAAAAAAAAGAATTGCAACTGCTGGGAAATAGAAAACTTTTAAAACAACTTTTTGAGTTTAGTTTCAAAAAGAAAATGCTTTCCAAAAAAAGAACTCGATCTCTTTCTTTCTTAGCTTAAATTTGAATCGAAAATTTAAATGAAAAGCTGATTAAAAGTCAGCTTTTAAGCTCTATAGCTAAAAATGAAATGAAAATTTTTTCAAATCTTTTTTTAAATGAGTCTTTAAATAAGGAATGGGTTTTTAAAAATGCCAAGAAATCTTTTTTTGAATCTTCGAAAAGAGCGACAAAAATTCATTGACTCCCCGGACAACTCTCGTCTTTTTTTTGAGATATTTTCTTCTTTTTCAAGTTCTCGTAAAAAAGTGAAACACACATATTTTCACTCGATCTCTTTTCTTTTTCTTTTCTTCTGAGCGGTAATCCTTTGAGAATTTGACTTTAAAAGAGTCATTCATACTTCTGAAACTTCTTTTTCTTTTCAAATTTTGAAACTCACTTTTCTAAAGGGATTTTAAAGATGAATTTTCGGAGCATGATTGCAATTGAAAGATTTCAAAGGAACAAATTGAATTTCCACTTAAAAGGTTAACGATTTGAAAGCATTAAATCATTTTGAAATCATTTTGGAATCATTAAATCACTTTGGAATCATTTTGGAATCATTTTGGAATCATTAAATCATTTTGGAATCATTTTGGAATCATTAAATCATTTTGGAATCATTTTGGAATCATTAAATCACTTTGGAATCATTTTGGAATCATTAAATCATTTTGGAATCATTAAATCATTTTGGAATCATTTTGGAATCACTTTGGAATCATTTTGGAATCATTTTGGAATCATTAAATCACTTTGGAATCATTTTGGAATCATTTTGGAATCATTAAATCACTTTGGAATCATTTTGGAATCATTTCTGGAATCATTAAATCACTTTGGAATCATTATGGAATCACTTTGGAATCATTTTGGAATCATTAAATCACTTTGGAATCATTAAATCATTTTGGAATCATTTTCATTAGTAGAAAACAAAAATTACAAGAAGAAATATCAATATTTCTACAAAAGAATTTCAAGTATCGAATAAAAATCGATATTTTTCAAACTTTCAAACTTTCAAACTAAATTTTCTACGGAATAGTTTTTATGTAACAAAGAATAAACGGAAAGAAAAAGAAAAAACGGCAAATGGAAAATGCAAATAGAGACCTTTTTGGGGGGATGGAAACGAGGATTCATTCAATAACAAAAGAAGAAAAAAAAAGAAACGTGGGAATGAGAAGGGGAAAAAAAGGGAAATGGATAGAGAATAGATCGATGCATCATCTGCATATTTGTCTGTGGATGAATCACTATTTCTTGGCCGATATCCACACGATGAGTGTTCCGAACAAGAGCCCCTCGGTTTTCTAAAAAGTGTCTTTCCCTTTCTATCTTCTTGTCTTCAATTTTCATTCAATCTATCCACTTTTGAAGGCTTATAGAAACAAAGAAAAAGTAGATAGATTTGATCAAAAATCGAGACAAGATTACGGTAAAAAGAGAAATTGGGAAACAGTTTAGAAAATTTGGGCATTTTAACACTTTAACAAGGATTTACAGTGACTTTAAATGACTTCTCGGAGTAGGCTAATTTCCGCAAATTTTTTTTGTTGCGCAACTTGCCATAACTTTTTTCTAAGTCGGCCAATCTTTATGATGTTGGTTTCGTTTTATTGCACTTAATGAGATCTACAAAATGGCACCAAAATCATAAAGATTGGCCCACTTAGAAGAAAGTTATGGCATGTTGCGCAAATTAGCCTACCCCGACTTCTCGTTTTGTTTTCTTTATTATATTGAGATCTTTTTTCTTTATTATCTTATTATTAGCTATTCAATTATAAAGAAAGAAGTGCTAATAAAGCCAAATAAGTTTATCGTGTCTTTCGATTGTTTCCCTTTTATTCTGACTTAGTTGATTTTCTGGATTTTCTTCTTTTGTTCAGAAAAGTTGCTCGAATCTTTCCGCGATTGTCACCATTCGATTCTCCATGAAATTCTGACTTGTAAATGTGCTATTTTGATGGGATGAAAGCCACGAAAATCATCGAGAAATCGAGCTCTAAAGTTCGACTCACAGTGATCACTGTGAGTCGAACTTTTGACCTTGATTTCACAGTAAGTACTGTGAGTGTTTTTTGTTTGTTTTGAGTGATTTGTATTGATACCTTTTATCTACCTATTCTAGACCAATTAACTATCCTTATACTTTTAGAGCATTTACAAAATGTTTTAAGTTTCATTATTGCCAATTTTCCGGATTTTCAAGCTTTAGCTTCAAGCTTCAAGCTTCAAGCTTTTCAAGCTTTCAGGCTTTCAAGCTTCAAGCTTCAAGCTTCAAGCTTTCAAGCTTTACGGGAAGTGGTTAAAGTACACGAGATTAGACAAGAGTTGCGAAAAACTTGCTCAAACAGTCACCAAGCTATTAAGCGTATTTGGTTACCCATAGAAGAGATAAAAGGTATCAATACAACCACTCAAAACATTAGATCCAACTAAGCCAGGATAAAAGTGACTCCACCCAACCACAAAAGTACTGAAAAAGCTTCTTCTGACAAGGGACAAGCTTCTGACAAAGGAAAAGCTTCTTCTGACCTAAACACAAGGTGATAATTTTAAGATTTGAAACAAGCGTTCAAAGTTGGCACTAGTTTAGGAATCTAGTCGAAAAGTCGGGCTAAAAAAGCAAAAAGTTTGGTCAAAAAGAGAGACGAAACCCGAGAACAAAAGTTTTAAATTCCAGCGCACTATCCACTGCACCGTCTCCTCGCTAAACACCAATCGGCAAGACTGACTCATAAGCGCGTGACCCGACTTTTGTCAACTTTGAACGCTTGTTTCTCGGTCATTTCTGAATTTGCGCAAAAATAAAAACGGCATCGTGATCTCCATATCGAAAAGTTGTTTTGCAACTTGATCCCGCCAAAAATTCTCACCTTTTGTTTGGGCCAGAAGAAGCTTTTCCTGTGTCAGAAGAAGCTTTTCCTTTGCCAGAAGAAGCTTTTCCTTTGTCAGAAGAAGCTTTTCCTTTGCCAGAAGAAGCTTTTCCTGTGTCAGAAGAAGCTTTTCCTTTGTCAGAAGAAGCTTTTCCTTTGTCAGAAGAAGCTTTTGTGAGAGTTCTTGCAGGATAACAGGATCAAACTCTTGCTAGCCATTTTTAGCAATCCGAATTTCCATTAAACAATTTAAATGATGAAAAACAATAAAAGAAAAGTGTGAAAAAGTAACAAAGAAAAGTTTGAGAGGAAAATTTGTGAATTGTGAATTGTGAAATAGAATTCGAGCGGGGGAATTGATGAGAGTCCTCTCCACTTGAAAACAGCAAAAATGCGAGAGAACGGAGAGAAGAGTTCGCTCAAAAATGCGTTTTCTCCACCAAAAACGAACGCCTCAATGCCACAATTTTATGGAGAATTTTTGGAAAAATAAAACGAAATAATACCAAAAATTGAGGCCAAACGTTGGTTGGGAAGGAATTTTGTGCAAAAAAAAAACAGCAACTCTTCTTTGTTTGAAAGCTTTTTTTTTTGTGGAGAAAATTTTTCGCTTTCTTCTCCTCAAATGAAATTAGCTTTCAGCTTCTCGTAAATTAGCTAGAAATTCGCGAAAACTTTTTTGAGAAAGAATCAATCTCAAGTCTCAATTCGTGATTTACAAAGCCGCTATCAAAACTAAGCAAAAGCTCGCTGGTCTAGTGTGGTTCAAGGGAAAGCACAATAGTAATTCGTAATACTGCTTGAATTGTTATTGACGGAATACTGGATGAACTTGGTTTTGGTTTGGATTTGTCCAAACGAACTTGGTTTTGGTTTGGACAAATCCAAACCAAAACCAAGTCAGGAGAATCATTGATTGAAGTAGGAGAAGTCAGGAGAATCGGAGAATCATTGATTGAAGTAGGAGCAATCAGGAGAATCATTCATTGAAGTAGGAGAAGTCAGGAGAATCATTGATTGAACTCCGATCAGCCGACCATTCAACACTTTGAAACATGCTTTTGGAAAACGTTAGGCTTTTTTACTTTGATGAAAACTTTCACAAGACCAAATGAGAAAAAAAATTCAGATTAAATCGGGAAGGGGGAAAGAAGGTGTTCTTTTCATTTCAGTGTATTCTTCTTGAGTAATTTGTCTCAAAAAAGGAACCTATTTTATTAAACTATCGTAATCAAACGGACTGTTTCTATTCAATCACCTCAACTTTGATCAAATTCAATTAGGGACTCAGAAGACTCAGTCAATGATATCAAAATTGGGCTGATCGAGCTGAAAGCTGGCAGCCAGATTACGATAGTAGAGCTCTGAATAAAACTAGAGCTTTTTTAGAACTAGAGCTAGAACTAGAGCCAGAAAATCAATTCCAGCATCTCATCAGTAACAATGGCAATGTGGACAGCTTGGTTGATAGTCATTTACACGATAACTTGTCTTCTCGTCCTGTTTTTGATCGGCATTTTGGTAAGTGGCAAAGAGAAAAGAGAGAAAATGTGAAAGGAAAAGTGCCCAGGTCAAAAAAAAAACGCATTTAGGTTTAGGAAACAAAAATATGGCTGATCGGATGTAAACTGGCGATGGGATTACGTTTTTTCGATTACGAATTCCTTTTTCATTCATTCTTTATCATTTTCTTTAGCTAAAGACGGATAAATTTTTATGAAATGTTCAAAAATGGAAAAGAAGCCTCAAAGATGAAAGATCACTCTTCCAAGGCAGTTATCACACCATAAAATCGAAGCAATCAAACCAGCAAAGGCAAAAATGCTTCTCCTTTTCGGATGTTTTCTGTTATTCACGACGACTTTCGGTGATGTCGGTGGGTGAAAATTAGCGCATAAATTAACGAAGAAATAAGAGGCGCTAGTAAAAGTGCCCCGTATCATTTGCGCCAAAATCATTCGCACTAGATGTTTAGCCCGACTTTTCGCGTAGATTCCTTTTCGAGTTTTAATTTTATGGCAAAAATCTCATGGTGTTGGTGGTGACCATGGTGGCTCAGAAATCTCATGTGTAGATGCATTCTTTGAGAGGTAACACCTCATTGTCGACAAGCATAAAAAAATGTCATCAGTACAGTAAACGCTTCAATTGCTCTCCTGATAAAATGGCAGTAGTTCAGGCACATGCAATCACACAGTCGAGCCGCTCTCCTGGTTGACCACAACGGGACGAGGGTTAGCCGATTGGTCGAGTGCCGGAATTCGACCAAATGGACCGAATTATTGCCTTCAAGTTTGTCCAAAGTCAAGATGCAAAATCCCTCGGTTCATAGAAGAGTTGGACACGCCGGTCCTTTTATGGGTTGGGGCTGCGAATACAAAATATGGTCGGCGCCGGGATTCGAAGCCGCGGAAAAGTGGGAACCTCTCGCTTACCGATTACCGGGCGAACGCTCTACTAATGAGCTACAGGGTTACTTGTCCCGTTGGTTCGAAAATTACTCGAGGAAGGCATAAAGCCCTAGTGGCGGAGCCTGGTGTAGAGCGTTCGGCCGGTAAGCAAGCGGTGGCGGATTCGAATCCCGGCGGCGACCTTTCCAAACCCCAACCCATAAAACCTCGGCCCTCGGTTCAGAAAAGTTACCCATAGATGTATTTTCCATGTTACCAAATGCATATCTGACAATTAGTTCAAGCAAATAGCCCTCAAACATATTTCAGGGCAATCGCCAGGACAACACTGTCGAGGTGAACTATCACATGAACATTTCGGCGGATTCGATTCCCCTTCGATATTCGAGAAATCCCTGGATTATGAATGATGATAACACAAGTAAAAAAAAAGATAAAATCGGAAAAACCAAAAAAATTTCAGCTCAAAATGGTTGCCTCAATAAAGATCCCCGGATCAAATATTGTTTTTCATTTTGCACGGCTGATCTCGAAAACCTTATCACAAAGGTTGGGAAAATTAAATTTTTAAAAGATCGAGATTTCAGGCAGCTCTGAAGTTTCGAATTGCGTATCAATTAGCGGCAGAAGTCTATGAGAATTATGGGAGTCCCAAAGATGTGGCTGTGACAACGATAGAGGTAAACAAATCAAGGGCTCATGCTTCATTAGCCAAAGTAGACCTGGTTTTCGTAAACATTCGACTCAATTTGAAAGTTTTTAAGCATAAATCTCGGTAAGCAAAGTCTCTCAAAAGCGATATTTGCGCATTCTTCAAATTCATATTCAGCTATCTCTCACCGATCCTAATGCCCATTTGGATGTCCAGGTCTTTATGCTTCCTTGTTGGTGCAGTGTTTATGTTGGAATTCATCCCGATTTCGGACCATCTTATCTCTATGAAATCCAGGTCGCCCACTTACTAACATAAAGCCTTTCTTGCCGATAAACCTTCACTTGAAAACCAAAATTTACTGCACATTTAAAAAAGCCGATCACCGCAATTGAAAAGGAAAAATTTGACTACCAGAGCTGAAATAGAATAGTCATCGGGTAAAAAGAAATGTCAAAAATACACGTTAAAATACTCATACACGCAAGAGGTCGCAAGAAATAGGCAAAAATGCAAAAAGAAGAAGCCAAATACGTCACCTCGAAATCTTAAAAACACAGAAAAACACAATGCAAAAAGGAACAAAAGAAACATGAATTAATAATATGCTAAATCAAGCACAAAAATGCACAGTTGTCAGCGACGATCGATCACTTCCTTGTCGCATTCTCGTAGGCCTTCATGATCGCTTGTTGAATGCCCTAGATTGAAAGTTGATCAGTTGGTTAAGCCAAACAATATCAGTAGTGCTAGTGCAAAGATATAAATAAGCAAAAACAATGAAAGATCAAGGTGTGAAACTTCCATTACCGCATAACGATTTGGTTGTTGTTTTCGTTGCAAAAAGATCTAGTTTGAAAGTTGAAAAGGAGAGCGAGTTGTACTACGATAAAACGAACGCTACGTTATCACTAGATGGATAGAAAGCAGGTTAACATGCACACCTCTAATCCCCTGCGTACTTGGGCATCCTGAAAGGTGATGATCTTCCCTTCGGAGCCGCCGATTCCCAAGAAGCCTCGCTTTTTCTCCAATAGACGGATTTTCACGCCTTCAGCGACATATTGTGGAGGGTGAATCTAGAACAATAAGCCCGCATTAATTTTATAATTTTACCCACTTTCGCAAATTCTGCAGTCCAGTCGGCGGTCCACGTTCCCATCACATCCGTCCTTTTTGCGATGATCATTTGCCGGTTCGTTACAAGAAGGGCGACACGCTCGGATATCGGTGCATAGCAAATGTAATAGTCGGTTTCAGTGAAAGCTCCTCGGTCAGTATCCTGTAAAATAGCCATTATTTGTAAAATTCAACTTGCTACCTTAAATATCCTGAATCCCATTGCAAGATTTGGACTGTACGGTCGCACAATGTGATCCGGTTTGATGTAACGAGGAGGACGAATAGCACCGGTATCCTAAACTTGAAAATACTTGATAAGCCGATGCTGGTCATACCTTGTGTGTTCCCGCCACTGAGCGCACTGCATCCATTGATGAAGAGGCAAAATCGACCACTCCTGAAATCGGGCGAGCAGCTAGGCCAACGAGTCCCTAAAATCATTTTATCGGTCGAGTAAAGTTTCCATTTTCAAACCTTTCCAGTTCCCTTGATAAATCCACCAAAACCGTCTTGTTTAGCACCTTCGATCGGCTTTGTCACAACACCTTTGACACCGTCAACGACACCCATTCCAAGTCCCTAAAAATATAATGGAACTATTTAAAAACAAATAAATAGGTAGGTAGGTACCTTGAATCCACGAGCCATTCCTTCAGCAAATGATTGAGGACGACGGTTTAGATCTTCTTGCCTCTTTCGTTGATATCTGGAAAAAGGATAAAAGGAAAAATTTTTAAACTTACTCCTGATCAAAAGTCAAAGCTGCCACTCCTTTTCCCACGGTTCCAGTGATGCGCCCGACGGCACCAGCAGCGCCACCAACAGCATGACCGAACATTGACTGAACACCAATCGCTACTCCCGAGACAAACTCTTCTGGGCCTAAAAAGAATTTGATGTTTAGACCTTTCTCTTCACTAGCTTAAAAAGGTTTGATACTTACCTTGGATCAATCCTTGGTATGGCTGGTAGAATAAGTCCTCAACTCCAGTTGATAAATCCCTCACCAATCCGAATGGATTTCCAATGATATCCAATCCAAAGACAAGCACATAGAGTTGTTTGATTCCCTTTATGAAGTTAATTAAATACCCGACGATATAAAAATTACCTGCATCGTGTAATGGGAAACGATCTCAGCATTTAGTTGATCCATGTTGTAAAAAACAGCCTTTCTTTCAAAATATGCCAGCCTAAATAGAAGGTAATTCAAACTAAAACCATCTTGTACTTACTTGAAAACAACATCTTGTAATTCGGTCAAAGTGACTCCAACACTCTTCAACAACACTTTTACAAATTCACTTTGAATTGGAGCCGGTGCATTTGCTTGCTCAGCAGTCGTACCGCCTTGTGAGAAAGATAAATGAATCTAAAACCCTCGTTAAGACAAAGTTTCATCGGCGAACAAACCATCAATGGTGAAATGTGGAAATCATTGTAATAGGATTTTGGCTTCTGGGACTTCCAGGCGTCGGCCATTTCGGATAAATTCACCTTTGTTGATTCAAGATCTTCATCGAACATCGTTTTCTAAAAATAAGAAATCGATGCTAATCAATTGCAATCATACCCCATATGGTTTCTTGGCCGCCGCATTTGGAGACAAAGCCATACCAGCATTAATCAAACCCTAAATTTTTTGAAACTTGATGAAATAAACACAAAAAGTACCTGATCGACGCGCACAGCAAATTCTTGCACCAAAACTTTACAGTACTCGACTTCCGGTATTGTAGAGAATTCCGATAATCGCTCAACAAAGGAAATTTCGATAAATGGCTTCGGAGCTAAAATTTTAAATTAGGATTACAATTCATGTTTATCTTACCATTGTCCTGGATGACAGACTTTGGCGGAGGCACAATTGAGAGAACGCAAGGAAATACGCAAGCATCCATCTGAATAGCTCATTTCACTGGCCCCTTTCCTCCAAATTTACTTGATTGTCCACTTGAAGATGGTTGAGTTTAAAATGAAGGCGTTTGCGCAAAGCCGTTGTGGCTAAATCGTTTGTATGAACCAGTGAAAATTTCAATAAAATCTTACTATAATGTCCCCAGAGTCCTCGCTCGAAAGTGCGACGCAGCTTGAACTCTCTTCCATTTTTCTTCCTTCGCAAAAGCATGTGTTTCAAGTTGAATTCATATTTTTCAAGATCCTAGAATTTGATTAAAAAATATAAAACATTTCTCACCTCCCAATCCGCTTGTTTTGTTTGCAAATATAACTGATATTTATCTTCAAGACGTTGCATATACTTGACGGGTAGCGGCTTGTATCGTTCGATGCGTTTGGATCGGAAAATGCTGGAGCTGCGAACTTCTTCTTCCCATAAGATGTCCGATGAACTAATGCCAACAAATACGACCTAAACATCGATTTAATTAAGCAATGGTAAAAACAAAACCTCCATTCCCTTTTCATTGTCAACGACCGAAAGCCCAATGCCTTGAAGAAGGAGTTCGAATGAGAATTCTGGTGTTTCGAAGAGATGGTCACCAAATGCAACCTAAAATGATTGCTTACAATTAGAAAGAAAGAAAATCATTAGCAGTCTGTTTAATAGGCAAACGTAATACAAAAGAGTGGGCCACCTTCAAAATGATCTAAATTGAACTACACTAATGAAATTTGAAGAAATCTTTTAACAGGCAATAATATACATAAATATTCAAATCAGCAAACCCTCGATATATGAGCATCTGCGGTGAAAAGTAGAGTCCTTTGCCGGCCATTGAGGAAGGAAGCATGGTAGATAAACCTAATTGAATAAATAGTCGAAATGCTTTTGCAACTCACTTTCTGAGATCTTTTCTCGGTTGTGCTTCACCAAACTCGTTTTGTTCGAGCGTTGTCTCACTTTTGAAGTCTCCAATTCTAGAAAAAAAAACTATGAGGAATCCGTGTCAAAACAAACTGATATTCCATAATGCGGTCTCGTGTTAAGTCGCTCCACGTGAAGAAAATATGCTCCTTTGGCCCAAGAATCGATTTTGAATGTCCTTTCTGTCCATAATGAATGGGTATCTAAATACGCGCTTACTAGCTAGTAAAATTGCGGCTACACCTTCAAATGATTAATAACATGCACAGGAGCTGAGCCGGGTGTGAATGGAGTGAGATGAACTGTCACCTGAAATACTCAAATAAGATAGAATTTAAGCTTAAAGCTTTTACCGAGGACTCCCCTACACGACAAGCCACATCGATTCCAGCCGAATCGTCGTTTATCTAAATCAACAACTAAAATTAGCTTCATCAATATTCTTACTTGAGCAAGCGTTTCGATATTTTCTGTTATTGGAAATAGTAGCGATTCTTCGTCCGATCCGACAAATCTAGCGCAATAATGCTTGCGTTGCGAACGCTGAGATGGCCAAACACCAACGCACTGAAATCGCAGTTTAATATAAACAACGTATTTCACAAACCGTTTCAGCTAGAATTTTAACCCATTCCGAGAAAGAGTCCTCTCGAATCTAAAGATAAATTGTATAAAACTTAACTACAAAAAACCTTGCCTCCAAATCAAATTTCCCACAGTTTGAGACCAGATAGAACGGAGCAAATGAAACAATATTCGTCAAACCGGATTGACAAAGTTGAATTGAGACACTCAACTAAAAATGAAAACTTTGATCGAGAAAGTCAAAAAGCGCCAACCTCATAATCTCTCGAGCTTCCTTTGCAAATGACCCGAGCTGTGTTTCCAACAGTCTCAAGCGGGAACTCTTCTGACCAAGTGGAACTTCCAGCTATTTGCACTTTTGCCTGCAACATTGATATTCCAGAACTCTTCTCATAGGCAAACCTTCTTTTTCGCTTCAATGTTCTTCGAAGGGAACGGTAGGATGATCGGGTTTTGTCCGGGCGCATGCGTAAGTGCGAATGGCTAAATAGGAGCATGAATTTGCACCCAAAGCAAGCACGTTTGTTTTTGAGCACAACAAAAAGGTATGAGCTAGAAATTTAGCAAGCCCCAATGTTTGTTTGTTATTAAAACAAAAACTTCGACAATCTACTTGAATAAACATGCAAACATTATCGATACCTCGTTTCCACGGCTATTTCTTTTAGTGCGACAAGGAATGCACTTGCTGGTAGAAGCCATAAACCCGCCTGTGCTCTCCTAGAAATACGAAAGGAATACTTAGGATAACAAATCAATCCAAAAACACATATCGGCAATTCAAATTTAATAAATTTTAGACAAAAATCAGGGCTTGCTTAATATAAATAATAGAAACAACTTTAATAAATGCCACTGATAGCTTACCATATGTTGTAGAGTGAGGGAAGTGTTGTTGACAAGCCAAAATGGAGCATAAAGATAAGCTTTCAATCCACCATATTCCATCGACCAATGTAGACCAAGAAGCTAAATAAATATCAATCAGGCGAGCAAATTAAAAACAAAACCAATTCAGCGCTTCCACTTTCTGTATTAAGAGCAACAACTTGGAGATCCTCATGCTTTTCCTCGATTCGCATATCAAGAATGTAGTCCTCATCCAAGTATTTTGTCTAAAGTTTAGAATGCAGTCGTAGTATTAAGATAACCGACCCTCAGGCGAAGAGTTTGTCCAGCAATGGTGTTCAGGATTGCGTCGTTGCCAGGCGGAAGCTCCAGTGATAGCTAAAGAATATGATGTTGGCTTAAAGACTGTGTGGTGTACTTACTGGTTTTTCAATGTGAACAGGGAATGGCAAGTTATTGTGGAAGACCAATGGCGGATAGAGTGAAAGTTTGAAGCAAGCGTCCATACACTGCATATCACTTGAGATATCTAAATAAAAAAGATCAAATACACTTAAAAGATTCAAAACCTCCATGAGAAGGAAGATGAACGTTTTCTTGCTCAACAACCGTTTCAAAGAAGTATCCTTGCTTATCGTCTTCACTCAAGTTGCAGCGAATAGGAGCTCGTTTTTGATGCTCAAAGTCGTGCCACGACACAGCTTCGAATGAAACTTCAGTCCTACAATCGCTTTGTTTTTGGATATAAAATTTGATGTTTACTTGTCTCCGACTGGTTTGAAGAAAAGTTCGCCCGTAGGAGTGAAAAGAAGTGGCGTCGGTAAATTGACAACTCCATTCGATGGAACTACTGCAGCAAGATCCAAGCTGTTATCCCTTCTCGAGTAAATCTCCATGTCGATGTCGAGATTGTTGGCAATCTTAAAATGACAGTAGCATAGTATTACCTCAATAATTGCATACTTGAACATGTGACCGTAGTGTAATCACTCGCCGTGAATTCTCAATAGCCACATCAACAAGAATCTAAAAAAAATAACAGAACTATCTAAACCCTCCTTTCCAGATTACCTTCCATTGTTTACCACCGTCGCTTTGTTTTGGCAAAGGCAGCATCCATTTATCGGCTCTACCCACAACAACCTCTCGAATAGTGTCCAAAATTTCAAGTCTAAAACAAGCTATTAGGTTGATGCAAAAGTCTTTTTCATTTTTTTCGTACTTCTTTTGAAAAATAACAAAGTCATCAATTAACCTATGGTTTGCTCTAAATGAAAAGTGTTTATTGTTGAATTTCCCATCTTTTTAAGTCAATTTGGGTTCACTTTCAAGCAAATTCGAGAGTGAAAACGGGTTTTTTCATAAAAATCTATAAAAACCTCTATAAAGAAATTGGCTGAATCAATTTCTCTGAAAATCTGAAAAAATATCTAACTTTTTGTGCTCTACTTTTATTTATTAACATCAAGATTGGTTTCCTTAGCTAAAGCGTCTAAAATGCATCATCGAGCCGTCGCCTTTTTTGACTACCCGACTTCAGGCTCTCAAAAAAATCTAGACATAAGACATTTTAAACTCGTTTTAATGTCATTATGCGGAAAAATAATTGGCCTTTCGAATGCAATAAACCGTTGTTCAATTGGTGCATTTGTTACTTTTTAACGGAAGTACGAAAAAAATGAAAAAGACTTTTGCATCAACCTAATAGTTGCATTCCTAAGCAAATAAAATACCTAAGATCAGCTTTTATTTCCTCTTGAATGATAGAAAGGAAATTCTCAGCATTCTCCCGTTTTTTTTTATCTTCAGCTTGGCTTGATATGGCATCAAGATCAACATAGGCACCATGCGTCGCATCAACAGACGCTCCATTATCAGAAGCCTAAAATTTAATATTAGACTCTTTTAGTGAATAATTCAACTCATTACCTTTAGAGTCGTTGAATTGGCGACACGAATGGTCATTCCTAAACGCTTTTTATTAGTATTCGTCTTTGCTCTGGTATTTAACCTGTATCATTGTAGATCAAGAAATTGGAGAGTCCAGGAAGTTGGCGGCTAATTGGGGGAGAAGTCTGTTTGGCTGCTGAAGCAAATACCTAAATGGGATGATCGACAGTGTATTTTAGCTTAACAACCTCTCCCAATCTCGTGAGCAGTTGGATGAAACTCTTTGTAACGGTCAAATTCAGCATCTTGTCGGCTTCAACTTTCACATTCATCCCAGCACGATTATCATCCTTATCCAATTTATTGCGCCCCTCAGCCTAAGGAATTTTTTTGTTATTTTTTCTAAAAGCTGGTACAAACCGAAACTCGAAGACTCCATCTTTCCCATTCATTCGGTTTCTCCAAATCTTCGACCGGTTCAATAACCTTTAAATCACATAATAAACGATGATATCTAATAACGTACAGGTTCCCATACAGAACAGCCCTCATTGTAATAAGACATTTGCACCGAAAGTTCCGCATTAGCCTAAACCAAACATAATAATTTAACTTTGCTATTCTCACCTTCAAAGCGCTGCTCCAATTGTGTGCATCTGCCTTTACTTGCATATCGAAAAAGATTAAAGGTAATGGAATCTGGAAAGTCGCTTGTTAAAAAGACAACAAAAATAACCCAACCGCTTCGTTTCCAGCTTCAAGGGTGAAACTGAGTCTGGGAATTTCGACTATACAATTTTCAACTAAAGTCGGAGGAAGGTGTGTTTCACGACGTTCCTCGTCTTCATCATAATCTTCACCGATTTCTTGTGCCATTTCGGGAACATTGAAAAACCAAAATCTAAAGTTTTTGATTAAAAACCCTCATATGGAAACTTTACTTATGTTCCTCAATAGCTCTCTTGCTCCAATATCCGGGATAGGCCTTACGCCTTGGAGTCACATTGACGGCATTTTGATCCTAAGACAACGTTTTAAAGTCTTGAAAGACTAATTTACCGCTTGATTGCTTCGTGCGAATTCAGCGTTGGCTGCTGCGAGTAATCGAATCACAGATGGTGCCATCTTCAGCTCGAGTGCCGTCATTTTCAGCATAACGTCTGTAGCCTAAATTAAAGTCACGCATACACATGCTATCCACCATTAAAAACACCTTTGTTTCATTGTTGATTCGAGCAGCAATTCCGATGTCAACCGATTTCAGAACCTGAAAACCAAATATTAACTTTTGATTTTTTTTTATAAACCTCATATGTGACATCCTTGCGTTTATGCGGAGCGTAGTAACTGCTAAACACTCGGAAAGCTTCCACACCACCGTGCATTACTTGTTCGTACTGGCGCTAAAAATAAGTGGATGTTAAATTAATGTTACGAAAAACCGGCTCAGCCTTCAGCTTAGCATTGAAAGACAAAATCAATGCTTGCGTGTTGTCCGGATCCATACTGTTTTCCACGATGATCACCTTTAATTGAATTATTCCGTATTTCAGAATAAGCGGCTCCTACCTCAACTCCTTTCAAGTCACAATCCATTGTTATTGCGCCAGGTGTAGGTGGTTGTTGTTCCTGAATTTTTGAGTGAAACCAAAAATAAACCAAAAACTTACTTGGACAGTTTTCTCGGCTTGAGGATGACTAGAAGCTTTGATGGCTGTGATTCGGCTTTCGCGTTCCAATTCCTCTTGAGTTTGTGGGACATTGAAAAATGCAGCGAGGCAACCAAGGAATTCGGGACACATACACAAGAAGAAAGCTGACATCTCAAGGCGAACTGAAAGGAAAATAGTAAAAGTTACCCAGAAATTTGGTTGAAAGTGTCACTAATTTTAAAATATACCATTCTTGTCCTGGCTAGCCGTTTGTTTGAAGGAGAGGTCCAAAAAGCGCTCTTCTTTTGAAGTTGACTTTTTATCGAGGAGTTGTGGAATCTTCGTTTTTCCTTTGCGTTCATCGCTCATCTTGAAAGTATCCAACGACATGGCCACTTCAAGTTCGTTGTCTTCCTGAAAAAAAATGTTTTAGTACAACCATTTGCATTACCTTGATATGTCCACTCAGTTTTAGACCTTCGATTCGCATTGAAGCTAAGGCATTTGACAAGTCCCGAACCGATGACATCGTGAGTCCTAAATACCGGCATATAAGAGATTGGAGTTTTTAACCTGTGAACAGCTCCACAGCGATGTTGTCAAGAACAAATTTGAAAATGATTCTCTTGTAAGTCTTGATTTTCAAGGCGTCGCTGTCATCAGATTTGGTTTTCGCTTGCGTCTAAATTTTTGAGTTAGCAACACTTTTACGATTTAAACCTTTTCATCTACGCCTCCCGCCATTCGTTCTTCTTTCTTTTCCAATGTCACAGCCGGCGCTACGACTGGGGCCACATTTTCCTCAACAAGCTCTTTGCCTTCATTCAAATTTCCCGATAGTGTCTGCATCATCGTAACCTAAACCAGCAAGACATGAACACACAGAAACACACTTACATAATCATCGTGCGATAAGGAACAATTGATTGCTGTGAGATGAGCATTGACCGCGATTTCCGGAATATCCTGAAACATACACTGGCTCACAACTTTTTTTCTGTTTACTACCTTCACGATTGAGAAAGTAAGATTTCGATGAACGTCCAGAGAGAAAGTGATAGGCTTCAAGATTTCGCACTTTGAGACCAGATTTTCTGCCGCATCGTCCATGTGACCACTAAACAACGTAGATAATGGTTGCAAAGCACATTTCTTACATTCCAAAATAAACATCTGTCAGTTTGATATTCATACTATCCAAAACGGCCTTTTTGAGCTGGTGATCACCAAGAATTCGGTTTTGCACCACCAAGTTACCTAAAGAGAATTATGAAGGATTTGAAGGCGCTTACTAACCCAAATCGACCACAAGTACATGTGTTGATGTGGAGAGTCTTGGAACAAGAATTAGAGGCGCAAGTAGCTCGACATCCAACTCAATTCTCGGTGGCGATTGCTCCAGCATTTGCTTCGCGGCTTCCAAAGCTTCGTGTGACTAAAATCAGTCAAACTGTTCATTCAAGAGTAGCTTATTTTTACCTTTTCGGCGGCAACGGCTTGTGCATGTGCCTGTACTTTAGCAGTTTCAGCTCCAAAAGGAGCAACAAACATTTGCATCCGGTTGACCCACAATTGTAGAAAGACAAATCGCATTTGTGCGAGGCGAAGCTGAATGTGCCAAAATAACGACTTTTTAGAAAACTTGTATACCTTAACTTTCATGTCAATGTCCGTGGGAGACATCGCCTTCTTCTCGACATCCGTGCGTTGATACTGGGTGAATTCAAAGCGGAGCATATCTTCATTTCCATGGACAGCCATTAGATCCCTAAACAAAAGCTACAAAGAAATCCTCATAAACTCTAACCTGTACAAAGCGCCCTTCGTCATATCTTGAATCTTGATCGCTTGTAGAGTGGCTTTCACCTCCATAGTCTTATCCATCATTCGCACTTCCGAGTTGACCTGACAATTTATACTTTTTTTAATCGTAGATCCAATATACTTTTTCGATTGCCATGAATGTGTCGATTTCTTTCTCGGTACCCATCAAAATGGCCAGCTGCCCAATCGAAGCATCAATTTTCATTTTAATAATGTGTGGATCTGGTGTCTCCTAAAACAAATGGATATATTTGTACGAATTTTTAAAATAAGCTCAGCGAGCACGCAACTCAACTTATAAACTAGCCAACATAGTGGTTTATTCCACCACCCAGTACACATTTTTAAGTTTATCAGGGAACCATAGCCATTTTTAGAGGTTTTCCAAGCCATGCACACGTTTTGATTGATACAAAGTCTTATAGAAGTGAGTGCTCTGTACATTTACAACAAAACAACGGACAAATATATATATATATATATATATAAACTAATACCTCATTTTGATTCGCCTAAAAGAACAAAGCATTGAGCAATATACACAAAAAAGGATGTTTACCTTCTTCTTGCGACGAGCTCGTTTTCGTTGGGCTGCTTCCTGTTGTGCTTCTCTTGTCAGCTGAGCCAGTGATTCCATGCTTAAATATGGTCATTTAAATTTGAAATTTAGAAAACCTATACCTTGAGCTAATCTTTCTGCTCAACTTTCTTCCCGTTGCTTCTAGTGTCTCTTCTTCTGCAACACCATCTTTCTGAGTTTCTTCTGGCTAAAAGTACAAAGTGACGCATTTAACGGAGAAAAATACCTTTTCTTTTTCCATTTCTTCCTGTAACGCCTCTCCGAATTTTTTTACTTCCAGAAAGGCTTGTTGATGCAATCCCAGATTCAATCTCGAAAATTTGAACACAACCGCCATTTCAGTTTTGTTGTATTCGGTTGCAAAATATGGACTTTCAGGGTTTGCCTAAAGTACAAGCTGCACGAATTACGAGCGTATTCATACCTGAACAAATTTCACTTCCATTAGAGCCCCTTCTTCTTCAAACGAGTTCACTAAGAAAAGGTGAGGATTGCGATCATCCAGAGGACGAAATTTGGGCATTGCCACCGAAATCGAGCCAAGCTAAATTTTGTTAGTGGTAAATAAAGCAAACAGTTTGTTACTTCAGCTTTCACAATCAAGTCGAAAGTTCGCATTTGAAGTTGACAAACAAATCGTTGAAGGCGGACATCCATCAGCACATCTTCTCCCTTGTAAATCGTAACGCCAATCTAAAAAAACTAGACGCATGCATGTAACAAAATATATAGAAACTCAAATTTCTTTAGCGTTGCTTAAACGCCAAAGATGCACATGTATGCTTTTCTAGTAGACCACATGCTCATTAAGAGTATGCGCTCTGTTCGTGAAGCATTAGATTTATCGCTTTTTAAAACTTTCTTTTCGAGGGGTGTACCAGTAACAATTTTTGATGTGAAATTGTCACCTTCTTACCCTCGTATGAGATACCTAATAAGGTTTCAATGATGAAGTTAAACCATACCGTCTCCAACTTTAAATCGAGCTCCACTTGGACTTGCTGTTCATTCTTAGCTTCCTCTTTGCCTTTTTGCTGTGCAACATCCGAAGTTTCCACCTAAAATTAATTAATTTAAACGAGAAAACTCTAAACAAAGTTACCTCATCCGCTTCCATAATCGTTTTCATTTTGGCCCTGTCTTTGATCTTGACTTCGTTCTTGATTAGTGGAAGCTCCTCCAAGATTTCCTGAAATATTCAAATAAAAAAAAAACGTAAAAACAACCGGTGTTTCTTCTGGTTTTGGCTTCGGGATCGAGTTCAATAGACGCATCAACATCAGAAGTCTTTGATCGGATATGACAACAACCACATTAGGAAGATCGCCAACAATACGAATTCTTAAAATATAGGCTAATCTTTAAACTGATAGCTAGCTTCAACCTCGGTAGACTCAAATCATCAATGCTACTCTTGTGGAGTTGGATGTCCAATCCGGTTGGCTTTAGGATATGCAGAGGGCTTTCCTTTAGTGGCAGTGACATAGTAGCCTTTTCCATAGTCTAAACTGAATGCTTACTATGAATAAAAAGCGAACTCACTTCCGCGAAGGCAATGACAACGTTACTCAATTTCACTCGGAATTTGTCATAAGCTTGCTCTCGTAGTTGCTTCATTCGATCTTGACCAGCAGAATCCTAAAAAAGCATATCCATGTCGTAATCAAATTAAACCCAACAACGACGTTTGATTCGACGGTTGTAATTGAAAGCACTCCCAAATCGGCCACAATTGTAGGTTTCTCTGGCGCGTAGATTCCTGAATAATAAATACATTTGCTGCTATCTTTCTTCTTTCCTACCGCCTTCTGAAATCATCAACGTCGCTGGGTTTATCGAAATATCCAACACAAGTTTCTTCCTGAATTCGACAGCATGGGCAAGTCCGGTCATTGATCTTGTTTTAACCTAAAAACAACTTGATACGAGATTTTAAAGAAACCCAACATCCTCATATCGAGACATAGCTGCTGCTGTTAATTGAGTCAATCGCACAGATTCTGGTGGTTTGAATACCTAAAGCAAGACCAAGTAAATCAACAACTCATTTATGTCACCTCAATCGCGGTATTCACGGCAGGTGCGTGATACTTCAAAGAAACCGGCGCAATGTTTAGACGAACTTTCTGAACAAATTTGATAGCCAAAGATGATTACAAAGTAAAAACCTGATCATATTTCCCGTGCAGCGGATTCGTGTCAATTTCAAGATCCAGCCATGGCTTTGATGGGTCGCGAACTCGTAACATTTCAGCATCTCCTCCATCCATACGCAATTCTTTAATGCCCGACTTGATGCTAAAATTCGAATGTATTAAATAAAAGAACTTTAATATCTGACTTTATCGCTCCAGCACTTGGCCTCTGTTGGATGAATGCGTTCAATTCATGCAACTTCATCATGATAGCTCCATCAATTGCAATCGCAACCTAGATAAAAAATGAAGATAATGAATCCCAAACTTTAAACTTCTCCAAGGCGGAATGTCATTTTGTTTTCCACATATTCCTTCGGATAATTTGTCGGCGGGATATTCTCCTGATAATCGATCGCCTCAAACAGCTTGGATTTTTCCTCCGGAGTCATGGCCTCTTCGAATTGTGTGACAATGTCCTTGTCTTGCTTCTTTTTTTGGTCATCTTTCGATCCGCTGCTCCACCTAAATTAGAATTATTTGTGGTTGACACATTTGTTATTGTGAAATAGTAAGTAAAGCCATAAAAATCACCATGTCTTTGCCCAACCCATAATGCCTTGTGGTTGATCTTCGACTCTCGTCAAGCCTTTACGATCAATTTCCATTTCTGCTTGCTGGCGCGCAACATTGACATTGAAAACATCCAAAGTGTCCTCAGCCTTCTGATAAAAACATATTATGGACTTCAAAGAAAATGCAAACCTTGATCAATTCGACGACAGAACCAGGAAGGCTCTTTTCGGTCTGATGTTTGACCCATGCGTCTCGGTAGTCACGAACCAGATGGCGATGCCTTTTCATTCGCTCCCAATTCCAATTTCTTCGACGCCTCCGAACTTTTTCTTCGAGGATACACGTGTATGCGAAGTGCCACCTAAAAGAAATTATTTTAGCGGGTATTTTAGCGCACATTCAATGCATACCATTGTCTATAGTGTCCGCGGTATTCATTAATCTTCTTTGGACGATATTTGAGATATTGGCCAGCAAGTGTGAAACGCTCTTGTGCTTCCAGGAACAACAAAATATCCTAAAAATGATAGATCTTAAATCAGTTGTGCTAAATCCACCTGATACTGGAATTTGCCAATCTTTAGAGCCAATGCTTCCATGTCAACAGAAAGATCGATTTTCGGAATTGTCCATCCACTGCCGTCCGTCTCTGGCTTTTGATTCAGCTGCAACTTTGCCTCCATTTTGATCGGTTCAAGGACTAAAGACAATCAATGAATCAAATCAGGCCTCAATGTTCATACTGTATTTATATCCATCGGGGCGCTTGCTTTTAGTTGTGATGGTTGCTAACATTTTGTCCTAAAATAATGATAGACCGTCAAATTTTTGCAAAAATACCTTTATCTCGTCACGATCCTCTAAGTCTGACAAAAGCTCTGCACTGGAGTTCCAATAAACGGCCAAATTCTCGAGACTGATCAATTTGTGAATGATCTTTACTGTCTCCTTCCGAATAGTTGGCAACCAGTTTTCATCTGTTGTCTAAAGCTTTGCTTAAACAAAAAAAAATAACACGAAACGTACTTGGAAAACGAGATTCTCCAAAGTAACCCCTGCACAGAAAGGACGGTGACGGTTAGTCCATTTATCTTCGAAGCGCACATGGATGTTTTTGATTGACACCTGCATGACAAAATGTACCACAGATAAGATTTGAAGCAAACTTGTAGATTCTTTATGATTTGTGTAATCATCTTCTCTGTGAAAGTATCTTGAACTGGATCTTGTGGCTTCCTTCTAAAGTAAAGTATGCAATACGCATAAATTAGGCGAGGAACAAACCGATTTTTACGTGCTTCTTCTAATCTGGCGAGCGTTTTTTGTTTAACTTCCGTAGCATTCTTTTTCGCCTAAAGTTAAGTGTAGCTAATATGAATTAGCAAGTTCAAATTACCTTGTCTTCATTGAAAACGACACCCTTATTGGGTACGATGATCAAGTGCAACCCGTCAATGTCAGCAATAACCGGCTCGGTGTACAAGTTTTTCCAGGGAATCTAAAAAAAACAAAATGTTTAAAAAGAGTAAAAATAGCCAACCTTTAGCACCAATGAGGATAAATAACCAAATTTCAACTTAATGGGCAAATCGAAGTCATCGAGGGCTGTTTCTTTTACTTCCAGATCTTCAAGTCGTACATCTCCTAAACGCAACCAAATTAGTTGATCTCAAATACCTAGCAAACATTGACTTATTTTTAAAAACCCTACTAACCTCCCCAAATCCCAACATTCAACTGTGAAGAGTCGAGATTTTCGACGAAGTCGCCGAGAAACCGATTCAACAAATCGGCTACCAGCGATTCGAAAACCATTCTAAATACAAAAACGTTTAGCAATAAACTGAAGCAAGTTGTGAAATCGGAAAATCTACAAATTCAAACAAGCGGATTTCATGGCAAAGTTATGATTCAAAAGGGGGCTCCCGTCGGCGGCACAAACAAGACAACTCAACGAGAGGAGAGAACAAGAATTTGGTGGAGAAACGGAGAAGTTAGAGAATACACAGCGAGCCCCCCGTTCAAATAAATGTCAAAGGGGGAACAGAAAAACGACTGTTTTGGGGGAAATGAAATTGGCAAGAGAAGAAATAGAAAATCGATGATGAACATGAAAATATTCAATAGGATAGATTGAATCTCAATTTCAATGGGGATCGATGTTTTTTGGGGAATAAAGAGTGAGCTTATCTCAACATTGAAAGCTTGTTGTTTACTAGTTGCGCGAGTTAAGTGCAAGTGCACTACGCGCTTTAATTTTACACAAAGGTCATCCTGGAGATGCAGTTCGTAAAATTTTAATTAGTTTTTGCAGCCTAGTTCAAGAGTTGCGCTTGTTTGTTAGGAATCTTATCGAACTTGTAATTTTGTCAGCGTTTTTTCCGGACCGCGAATTTTTGCGGTTGCACCGCAAAAATTGCGCCGTAAGCCAATAACGAAAATTGCGCGGACGAATTTTGGGCCGAAAGACCAGAAGCAAAAATTGCGCTGTCGAATTTTGCGCAAGTTCTTTTGCGCCGCCGAGTTTTGCGCTGCGAAAGTAGCGCCGCCTTCGTAAAACGAAATTTGTGCCGCAAGACCAGAGGCGAGAATTGGTCTTTCGGCGCAAAATTCGTCGGCGCAATTTTCGTTTTTGGCTTGCGCCGTCATGGTCCCGTTCTTCTCACAATTCTTAACATTTTTCACAATGCGCTTCCCTAATTATCCATTTTTACGATATAAATGATCACTTTTAGTTTCGGTTTGCTTTTCTTTGCACTGACTTATGCGTTGTATCAACTTTAGATCAATTCTATCGGCTATAAAAGAAAAACCTCCACGTCTTACTCAAATTTTGTGTATTTTCCCGCTTTTTTTGCGTTTCGCATCCCATCCCAGTGTTACTCAATCCATTAAAACGCTACTTAAGTACCCGTTTTACTCTTTTTCGCCCGGCTCACAAAGTTCTTTTGCACTCTTCTTTTTTCGACTAGCGCGCGTTTTACACTTGCGTAGTTTGTATCTAACGTTTTCCACCAAATAGCTTCCCATTACTTGCCTCATTTTATTTAGCTTTCGTTTTCAGTTTTTTTAAATGCTTTTAATATGTATTCCCTTATTACAGTTTTTAATTTCAGATCCGTCGATGTACGCCAGCAGATCGACGGCGAATTGGGTGCAGTTTTGGCGAAGTCGGACCAATCTTTTGTCGCGTACATTGGGACAACGACGAGTTCTGAGCAATGAGGCCAAAAGAGTGCAAACGCTTGACGAATATTTGGAGAAACAGACCAGCACATCAAGTTCGGTCCTTCCCAAATCGATCGATTTAACGCTGACGAGGATCAAGAATAAATTATCACCTCCAATGCCAGTGGATCCGAATTTGAAGCTGTTACTCGACCAAGCCGCCACGCAACTCTACTACAATTGTGCGAATCATTTCGATTACGACAAATTGTGTTCATCATTTGGATTGCCGGATTATTTCTCAACATGGTTTAAGCTCACATTGATGCACATTTGGATGGTACTTTTGCGGACACAAGTTTCAATGGATGCAGCTGCTTACATGCGACTGCAGTCAGGATTGCTCGCATCGTTGTGGTTGGATGTTGAAAAGCGTTTGGAAATTATATCCGAAGAGTTGGGGAAATCGATGAAGCGGAGTTCCGATTTAACTGTTATGCACGGATTGCACATTCAAACTTTCCTAGAATACGATGAGGGTTTTCTATCTTCTGATGCTCAACTAGCGGCGGCCGTGTGGCGATGTCTCTATCTTTCTAGAGAAGTCGATCCAAACAATGTGCTAAAAAGCATTCTCTATATGCGGTCAACCGTGGCCTGGCTCGATACGTTAGATCTTCAAGAAATTCTCGTCGACGGGCTCAATCAATGGAACCAAATCAAGCCAAAGACCTCATTTTTATGATTCAATCGCGTCAAGAAAATTTTAAAGAGAACTTCTTATCAGGCTTGTTGTGTAATTTTCAGTTGAAGGGGTTAGGTACTGAAAGTTGTTTGGTTGTTTTTATCCTTTATCTTTGATCTATCCATTTTTGAGAGACAAATCTTTCTTTTCAGATGATTTCTGTAGAAAAATAGGAAGCTTTTGTTTTGGATTATCTGCTTTTGAGACTTGTATCCTAAAAGCCTTTGTTGAACTCTTAAGGATATTGAAATTGTGCGTTTCTATGTAGTTTTTTTGCAATTTTCCTGGATTTTTGCTATAAATTTTTATCCACACAATAAATATCCATCTTTTTCATCCGAATTAAAGTACGAAAAAAGCTAAAACCGGAAAAGAAAATACATAGAACTCCGAAAAACGCAAAAGAAAAAAAACATAAGTAGAGGATTTCGAAAACATTTTTGGCAAGCATCATTACAAATTTTAGAAAATGGCGTTGAAAAGTTTTTCTTTCAAAAAATGCAGAAATTTTTGTTTTAAAATCTTTTCACTCAAATCACAACAACCGGGTGCAGAATTTTGACAAAAAATTTCACTTCAATTTCAAGTTTTTTGACTATTTTCTTTGCGTATGTACACAGGTAGGGTAAAATTCGTTAGAATCTTCGGAAAGTGTTTTTTGAAAAAAATCGAATCATCTCAAAAATAAAACTAGAATTGCTAGAAAATAGAAATTTCACAAAGGAAAAATGTGCGCGAAACCCGTTTTTTTGGGGGGAGGGGGGATTTTGGAAATTGTAGAACAATAAATTTACGATTGAAAGTTTCTATTTTTGAAACTGAACTAGATTTGTAAAAACTAGGAAATTACTCGAAAATATAAAAATTTGGTACAAAAGTCGAACCTCAATAGTCAAAGAAAGTTTCAATTTTGTTGAAAAAATTTGGGCTTTGCGAAAAATTTGGGCTCTAAGCTTTGAGTTTCAAAAAGTTCAACTAAAAATCAAAAAAGTGTCATTACAAAATCTACTACAGTACATTTTTAAACATAAGAATAATTTGCACTAGCTTAAACTTCTCAAAAATGCACCCTCCAACTTGAAACAAGCTTTTTTTCTACAAATAAAAGTCAAAATTTCAACTCTGGTACAATTTAGAAACTCAAAACCCTCATTTTCCCAATGTTTTTCATAAATTTATCGAGGTCCGATCCTGTTTCAATGGATAATTGACGAAAATGGCAAATTCAGCGTGGCTTGACTGAAATTGTTTGGATTGAAGCCGAGCTGTTGCTCGACGATCGCCTGGGTGGCCAAATTCTGTGCCAACAACGTGTTCTGCTGCAAGCTGTTCAACGGACTTTGTTGCGCATGTTGCAGTAAATTCTGCTGAAGATTGTGTTGCAAATTTTGTTGTAAATTTTGTTGGAGATTTTGTTGAAGCTGCTGCTGAAGGCCTTGAGTCAAATTCTGGGCAAGTTGTTGTCCCAATTGGAGGCCGGCTGCGGTGGGAAGGGCCGAGAGAGCTGAGGCTGCTGTTGAGCCAAGGCCTGAAAAATTTTTGAAATAAATTGATGGATTAAATCAAACCAAGGTTTACTTTGTGCTTAAAAATGCAAAGATACCAATCTGGCACACTGAATTCTTCACTTTTCTCATCACCGCAAAGCATTTTTGCAAGAAAAATGGCAGAAATGGCAAGAACAGTGGCAAAAAATGCCAAAAATGGTGTTGAGTGTGCCAGAAAGGATGCGTTTAATATTTGTTGAGCACAAAGTAAACCATAAGACAAATATAATGAGTAAAATTGTGGTAACTTTTAATGATTTGCCTTGAACCATCTTTTCGGTTGTTCGCACACTTTCCGAGGGAATTGGGTACTGATTTTACCGTTTTTTAAGAAATTCTTTCAAACATGACTTTTTAAATCAACTAGTAAGCATCATTTAGTATCATTTCACATCTTAAACTCGATTTTTTGTGAATTACCGTATTTCTTCGAATAGAAGACCGGGTAAAGAGTATGATCGCGTACTCCTGCGTAGCAGCCCTTTTTGAAATTTCTTTTCTGCATAAAAGCTTTCAATCAAGTGCTATAGAGCTGGGAAATGGCTCAAAAATCTGTTAGCTCATGTGGTATTCTTTACCCGGTCTTCTATTCGAAGAAATACGGTATCTATCTACACATTATATTGATAGCAAGCTTTGTGTACGGTTTGTCACAATTACAATTTAAAATCAACATTTCCTCTCACAAACCTTGTAACATTGACTGCTGTTGTTGGAGAGCGGTTTGTTGAGCCAATTGAGCGCTCACCTAAAGCTTTTAGATAAAATTATTCAAATAAAACTGTTAAAATATGATATATCACTTTATAGCCGCTAATCTTGTGACTTAGCGACGTAGAATTACAAAAAAACGGCTCAAGATTGTGACTTAAAGCACTGTTGGAACGAACAAAACGTAAATCTTGAGTCTTTAGTAAGTTAAAGTGAATTTCTAAACGCTTGAATTGTTCAAGAGCGAACAAAATTCCATTTATTGTTCAAGCTTTTGAAAAATTCACTTTAACTTACAAAAGACTCAAGATTTACAATTTAATGAATTAATTTTTTAATTCATTAAAGTAAGTTTTTTTTCTATATCTCACCTGTGCTTGTACTTGTGCCTGTGCTTCGGCTTCAGCTCTCGCTTTCATCGCGTGACTCTTCATATGTGCATTCAACGATTTCACCTAGAAATTATAACTTGAAAAGATTTAGAGAACGTTTAACTGGAAATTATATTAGAAATTTCATTGTTTAGTTCAAAGCCACTTTGATCATTCGATTACTATTTCATTTGATCATTATCCTCTCAAACCGACCTTCTCAAAGCATTTTTCACATAATCGACAATGGAAGAATCCATCGGCTGATGGCTGTGCACCCTTCTTCGAGCCGGATGAAACAGATCCGTGACGGGGCTGGCCCTGGAATGTGATTGAATTTGTAATTTTTGGCTTTTATTCTTTATCAGCAGCTTTATGACAATCGAATAAGGAAATTTATTCGATTGTCATAAAGCTTTTGTAGTTTAGCTTTCGTATTAGTTTTGTAATTTTTCAGACAAAGCAAAGTTGGGACATTGAAATTTGTTCAAATCAATCTTAAAACAAAAAAGATGACTGCATTGATTTTTATCTTTCAAATGCTTTAAAACAGATATTTTGTTCATTGACTCACCCTATCATTGACTGAAAAATGTTAATGAATTGTTGTGTTTTTGTTTTTCTTCTTTTTAGACCAATCTGTGTCTGTTTTAAAGTGCAAAATTAAGCGCAAAATATGTGCTTTTTCAATAAAATTCTTCAAAAGTTCCTAAAACGAAAACGACTAGGTCTATTGGTTTGAAAACGTTCGCGATATACCTACCGTAAATACTGTAATAGTACCCATCCCCCTCGTACAGTCGCGTAGTCGCAAAAGTTTTTTAGTATTTCATTTTTTTCAAAGCCCCCGTACTTTCAAAAAACGCGTCTTTGGTATCAAAAAATAGCCTTGAAATTCAGGGCTATTTTTTGATACCATAAGCGCGCATTGTAGCATAAACCAGTGTCGAGAAAAACTCGTTCAAAGCTAGACTACGCAACACTCCGCACCGTCATTATGGGGATGGGGTACTATTACAGTATTTACGGTAACTTTTTGTGCTCTATCTTTCCTGTATTGATACGAAAATCGGTTTTCTTGACGAAAATGCCTAAATCGTGTCATCGAGTGGCGACTTTTTCTTTTTGACTACGCCGACTTTGCATGCCCGTAAAAATCCCAACATAAGACATGTTAAGGTTATTTTAATGTTATTTTTGTAGATAGGTTAACTTTTCAATAAAGTAAAATAAGCAAATTTAACTTTTTAATAAAGCAAACTAATGGATCAATTGGTGCCTTAGGCGCCTCTAAAAGGAGTTTTGCACCAATCCAATATACATTGATCTAATTCTAGTTTTGTTGTTTTCACTCACCGATTGCAATTTCCCTTGCAGCACGGCTAAATCTTTCATCGACGGGGAGACGCTTGATTGCAAGGAAAGAAGTGGAACGGCGAGACCGGAGTTCTTTCGATTCGGCGTCAGCGCGGATGAGCTCGGCGATTGTTGGGCGAGGAAAGAGTTGACTCTGGAAAAGTGCAAGTTCAAAATGCGCAGTAAAATCAGATACCGTGTTTTCCCTAATAGTAGTGCACCAAAATCTAAATTGTCTAAATTGCTCGAAATCTCGAAAACCGCTTATCAGAACCTATCGATGTGGGATTGGAAAATATAGCTGACGATGAGATCTTGTGGGGGATTTGAGTGTTGAGCTTCTGCGAAAACTTAGAAACCGTAAAATAGTCATCAACTCGGCGGGGTGCACTACTATTAGAGGAAATACGGGATTTCATTATTTATTAGAATTCATTAGAATTCATTAGAATTTTCAATAGAAAAAAACTAATCGACATTGCGATTCTCGGCCTTTGTTTTTACTTGAGTTACTTTAAACTTGGATTTTTTTTCATTAATCATAAAATGCAAGTGCTCATAAATAGATATTTCTTTTCTTTTGTTTCTTATTGCAAAGCGAATGGTGGCTTTAAATCGAAGCCATGAAAGCCTTGAAACAAAGCTTTTTTTATTAGAAAAAAAACAGTGAAACGTCTTACTTTTGTTTTCATTTAATTTCATTTAATTATTTCAATTTAAAAATTGATTTTTGATTTGATAGTTATAAAAAATTTCGATTTTTAAAATAATGAATAACATCGAATTCAATAGATTCTTTTTATAGCTTATTTTAATATTTTATATTATTAAACTTTTATCATTAATAAATACCTTGATCTTGATTCATGATCGATCAACGAAAATGATGGTGATGTCGCATCTGTATCGTACTCGCTTTCCATTTCATTTTCCGAGATTTTCCGTTGCTTAATCGGCACTGGACAGCTCTCACGCTCGTTTTCCATCTAGAAATTTTGATGGTAAGAAAGCATCTATTAGGTGTGTGAAAAAGTAATCCACGTTTTTTTATTTTTATCTGATGACCAAATAAGACGCTGTCTTTTCGAAAACCCTCGTTCAACCTCTTCAGAAATAGGCCTTACATTAAATTGTGATGGATCAACCATAAGGAAACGCTTGAATGCCATGAATTTTATCAAAAAGTTGGACAAATGGATACCGCATGAACGATAACGCGCGACCACATGTCTCTTTACAGACTCGACAAAAAATCCAGAGTGTTGGATGGGAGGTTTTACCACATCCACCTTATAGTCCAGCCCTTCCTCCATCTGATTATTATTTATTTTTGTGTCTGTCTAACTTTTTGGCCAATAAACGGTTCAATTCCGAAGATGTCAAAACCGAGGTTGATCTTTTCTTCGCCTCTAAGGACCAAGATTTTTATTATCGTGGAATGTCTTTACTTGTAGAGCGTTGGCAAAAGGTTGTTCTTTCGAATGGTGATTACTTCGTTGAATAAAAATTATTTTAACGAAACTTATGGTCTTTTATATTTAAACGTTAAAAACGTGGATTACTTTTTTCACATACTTAATAGAAAGCAACTATCTGAGTAGATTTTTAGAATTTCGAAAATCTACCTGTTGATGCATTTCTAACAGTTGTCGCTTTCGCCTCAGATTTCTCAATTTTCGATAATCATCCGGACATGCTTTTTTCCATGTGTAATAGAACTCCACGCACTCTTTCACCGTTTTGTTCGTTAACTGAAACGTTAACTGATTTGAAGTTAAAAGTTTGAAAAAGTTCGACGACTAGGCGCGCACCAGAAAGGATGTGTTTACGTTTTTTTGAGACTACAAAGTTTATAAATGAAAAGGAAAACTTAATAGTTTACTCTACTTTCTCTATACTCTACTTACTCTATACCTTTGTAACTGTAAAATATAATTTTAAACTCTTAAACAGTGTTAAGAGCACAAAGTACAGAAAAAAAAGTGAAGTATCTTCGCTAAGGCAAACTTTAAATGCTAATTTTCCCTTCTCACCTCTTGTGCGACTTGATGAAAATCTTTCTCGGTTTTATAGAGAGCATCTTGAAATGAGAGAATCTCTTCGGGTGTCCACGGTGTTGTATCCGGATAATACGAGTCATAAACCGTTCGATATTGTTCCCAATCAAGAGTATCCGATCTAAAACAATGATTTCATCATTTCTGCCTGGTGGTCGTCATGGCGCGGTCGATAGAACGATAGAACGTCGATAGAACGCTTGCCTACAACCCATACGATCCGGGTTCGACTCCCGGCTGTGTCTCGACTTTTGCGTTTTTAAAAAAACGAAATATAAGATGCAGAACTACATAGAATTCTAAGCTTAACAAACTAAAAATCATGTAAATCGACCCTTTTATATAGTACTTTTATATAGTGCCTAATACCAGGAGCGTATGCCAGATGGAAAGCGATTACGCGGATAGAACGATAGAACATCTCCCACGGGTTTTTCTTTTGCTTTATAGATCGTATCAAAAGAAGATATTCGGCTGTAAATTTGTACCCGAGGGTTTTCGGGATCGGCGAATCGATTGGCGCTATTCATTTTAGTGAGTCTACCAATCCTTTTCTTGGGTTTTTGTTTTGTTTTTTTGTTTGTTATTTTTTTAATTCTAAAAATTCGAAACCTCAGCAAATCCATGACGGCAGCCTCGAGATTTCCCTTGTTTTCCATCAAAAGGTGAAGAGCCAACTCCTGTAAATTAGTAATTAAAAATGTGTGGAAAATAAAAACTGAATACGTCGAAGTTGAAGTTGAAGCTTGACTATTTTAAGCATAAGATCCTAGTAAACTTTATCCTAGTAAACTTATCAACATTTTAAGCTGACCTTATTTCTGCCGGGCCGCGGCACCGCTTGACAACACGAGAGCATCTCATAGGCGTCCACTGAAAACATTTTTGATGATTGTGTTTTAAGTTTATTCCTAAATTAGCCTACCAATTTCATTAAGTTCAAGCTGGTTTTAAATAAGACGAGAATTTTAAAAAAAATCAAAACACCTTGGCGGAACTTTGGCTTTTCATTTCAGCAACTCTTTTGACTAAGATCAATTTTTTTGATTGAAAATTCCCTCACATTGTTCCCTTGTCAAATGATCGATGAGCTTGGTATCGAATATTAATTCATCTCTATCTTCAATCGCATCTCTTTCCTCTGCTGTAATCTCCCGATCCGCCCATTTCTTCACTCTCGCTTGGAAATCCCGACCGATGTTGATGTGACTGAATTTGCGAAATATTAACTAAGATTCGGATTCATTGAGTTTCATTCAATAACTCTATTTCTCTTTCTCTTTCTTCTTTGACAAGAAGATACCGGAAGATAGCTGGTTAGAGTATCTGCCCGGAAAGCGAAAAGATCGAGGATTCAATCCCGGAAAGCCGAAAGATCGAGGATTCAATCCCAGAAAGCGAAAAGATCGAGGATTCAATCCCGGAAATCTTTCTTGACCATTCCTGACTTTACTTTATAGGTAGCTGGGGCTTTGCTAAGTTTTGAACAAACTTGTAAAATAATTGTTTAAGTGAAACTTCTAGGATTAGTTTGAAAATGGAATATAAGCTCACTCTCGGCAGAACATTTTAAAACTCACGGTGTGGCGTCGGTTTGATGAGCGGTCGCTTGATAATCATAATAGCTTTCTGATAGGGTGCTGGCTTTTCGAATTGCGTCAGCTCTGAAAAAGAATTATATAAGAATATTTTATATAAGGAATAGTAAGTAAACGTTAATCATTCTTCCTTACCTGTCATCAATGGTGATCGATTGTTTCGATTTATTGCTGCTCGTGCTCGCCCACGAATCCTTTCTCAACGCTTCCAATTCTTTTGCGAAGTTTACCTGAAGAAATTTGTTTGTACGTTCAAAATTACTTGGATAGGGATAGTTAAAGGGATAGTTAAAGGGATAGTTAAAGGGATAGTTAAAGGGATAGTTAAAGGGATAGTTAAAGGGATAGTTAAAGGGATAGTTAAAAGGATGAAGGGATAGTTAAAAATGAAATCAATATTCTAAAATCTTGAGTATGAATCGCAATACTAAATTATGAGAACTTTCTGAAAAGTTAAAGAGTTTGAAAGTTGATTGATTGATTGATTGATGATTGATCGCTTAAAAGTTCCGATCAATTCATTAGAATTAGAAGAATTTAGAGACTCAAGTATTTGAATTGAATTGAATTGAATTGAATTGAAAACTAAATCGATAAAATTTCCCATTTCTACAGTAGTCAAAGCTTTGATATCACCAAAAATTCACCAGAAATCCTCGGAGAAATCCTTTCAATTTATGTTGATAATTCGATTTTTCGATAAAGCGAAAATATTCGCCGAAAGTTTTCATCGGATACGAGTACGGAATTGGGAACTTTGAGGCCATAACAAAACAAGTACTCAATCAAAACTTGAAATTGACAACTTTCAGTCAATTCTTATTAGAAATTCATAGCGTTTGACGAGTAATCTAGTTAATAAACGAATTTGAAATGTTTTCAAATCGATTAATAATTTCGGATTTTCTTTAGTTTCAAATAGCAAACTCGTTTGCGTTCATTTTTTACGTTTCTTTTTTTCTAATAAAACTCAATGAAGAGTTATCACCTTTTGAGCGAAGAGCAATATCTCTTTTCTTTTAAAAGAGATGTGATCAGAGAAAAGGTGAAGAGGTGAAATGGGAAAACGTCAAAAAGTTCACAAAGTGTCGGTCAAGTGACCAGGAAGTGAGGAGTAGGAAAAGCTAGGGTTTTGAAAATATTCGAAACTTAGAAAGTTATTTCTAACAACAAATTTTGTAGTATAAAAATGATCAAATCAAAAATCGTCGAATTTCCAAAAAGATACTAGTCATAAAAAGGTCAGCTTTATCTGCCTCAATTTTGAAACATTAATTTTCTAATCAGTCTTTTTGTCACGGGCTTAAGGATGGATAGCTCATTTCTTATAAAAATCCGGATAACTTATAACGGATCTAAGACTAAGATCTATTTTCTGTGTCTAATTTGTGCTCAACAATGAAAACAAACCCTTTCTGGTGCACTTTCTGATGAGTTTCTCGTTTTTTTTTCTTAACAGCAATCTGCTGTGGTTTGAGAAAAGGTGTGTTTACGTTTTTTGAGAGCAAAGTACACCATAAAAAAAGTTTGATAGGCATTATTTTATATTTTATTACACTGAATTTATTATTTATTATTTATTATTTTATTTTTTTATACTTTATCAATAGAATTTTGTTATGTGCTAGGAGAAGGTAAGTGAAAATGAAATAAAAACTAAAACTTTTAATTACCGGTAAATGAATTAAATTAAATTAAGTTAATTGTATTAGCTTAAATTGAAACTCTCAAACTTTTTCTATAGGTTTCGTTTTTCCTCTCAATGGCTAGCTCGTTTTCTCAATGGATAGCTCGTTTTTCTTCTCAAAACGCTATTTTCCTTTACTCACCTGATTATGTTGATTTCCCATATAGAAAAAGCCATTCTTCCTCGTCGGCCCTTCTCCATCGATCACTTGTCCATTTTGTTGTTCGGCTGTTGGTGTTGTTGATGTTTGTTGATCGGGTGTGGGTACAATTGATGGAGGACCGCCCGATGAGGAAGAGGGCTCCATTTGGTGATCAGCTGCAAATCGTTTATACCAATTAACAAGGCTTCTTGTTTAAAACGTTTAACACTAGTTACAGGACTTGTTGAAGTTAAGGATTTTCAAGTACAGTACCTCACCTAGGTTAAGGCCTATTGCAATAGGCCTTAACCTAGGCCATTAATACATATATATATTGTATTAATTGATTAGCCTGAGTCTAGAGAGATGTCATGTTGCAAGCATTCTAGTTGAAGGACCCCTTTTTTTTTCGAAAATTTCACTTTTTTTCAATTTCACTTTCACGAATTTCACGTTTTTAATGATGAAATAAGCAAAGCTATCAAGTAAGCTTTGCATAGTTGTTCCTTCAAAAGTTAACGTTTCAACTTATTCAACTATTTGCATTTAATTTGCTTTTCTATTGTCCAATGATACTGTACGTCTGATTCAACAGTGTACAGGGTTGGGCAAAATTATCCGGAAAGTTTTTTGGAAAAGTAGTTGTCGCACGCTTAATTTATTTCAAAGTGTCAAGTATTATATAGAGAATTGTAGCCGTTAATCTGGGCTACATTTCTCTACTAAAAACTTCGCAAACAGATTTATGAAACTCATTTAACAAGCCCTTGAATGAGCACTAGTTGATCCCTATCCGATGCCATTTTTGACGTTTTTCTACATAGCTAGAAAAAATTATCCGACAACTAGTTGCCTAAAAAGTTGTCTAGGTAATTTTGTCCAGGTACTGAAAAGCTAATTTGTTCGACTTTTACTCAAAATTTTGCATCACCAAACATTTTTAGACAATAAATGCCTATCTGATTTTCAATAAATCAAATTTAGACAAAAAAAATGCCTGTCTTTCATTGTTGAATTCATGCAAAATTCATTGTTGAATGTCTAGAGTAAAAGTCGAAGTCGAATAAGTTGAAACGTTAATTTTTGAAGGAACAACTATGCAAAGCTTACTTGATAGCTTTGCTTATTTCATTTTGAATAAATGATTGTTGGAAAAAACACACTATTTACTAGCATATCTAGAATTAGAGTAAAATTCTCACGTCCAAATCCGTTGACCGTTTGCAAGAGGGCTGCGGTCATATCCCCGCCGAATGGAGTCACCTAAAATGGGAATACCGTCATTGCAATTGCATATTAGAAGATTAAATACCGTCATTGAATTGCATATTAGAATATTAATTGTTTGATAATCTGAAACTTTTCTTAAACTTAGACTAAAAGTGATAAGAAAAATCGAAATCGTAAAATATTTTTGCTTTTAAAATCATTAGTTTCAAATTTGAGGGAAAATTTGATGGATTCAGGATTGGAGTTGCTAATGAGTGTGCTTTGTTTTAATAGATTCAGACTTATTTTATTATTTATTTGATGTTTATTCAGAATCATTATTATATTTTATTATTTTATGGTTATTTTATTAATACTCAGACTCATTATTTGAAGAAAACATTCATTTCTATCGATGCTTTAGATCTTTAGATGCATTTCCCGTTAGAGCCGCTAGATTATGGAACTTGCTCCCAAACGACATACGAGAAATTCACTCGCTTTTCATATTCAAGAAACGTATCGATGCTTTAGATCTAGTGGCTCTTTGCCGTAAGTAATTGGCTTATTGATTTCAGTATGTATTGTATGATTAAGTATCACTGTGCATTTCTCTATGATTTCTTTCACTTTATCGTTTGAATAAAGTATTATTATTTCTCCCGCTCACCCTTTTTTTTTTCTTTTACCTATAACTTTGTCAAATGACAACAGATTTAGATGTTTTTAGTACCAATCGATTCAGAATGTAATTCTGCGTTTATTGTTACAAAAACCATCTATCTGTTGACATTTGACAAAGTTATAAGCAAAAGAAAAAGTGAGCGGTGAGCCGGTGAGCCGAGAAATGAATGTTTCCCCTAATATTTCATCCCTTTTGCCACAATCGATTCAAAAAATCACATGTTCTCTCAATTCTCTCAATTCTTTTCCTCGTTTATTCTCTTTTTTGAAAAGATTAATTGTCTAAAAAGAAAAATTGAAGAAAAATCAGTTCAAAGTTCTTGCAAAAAGCGACTTTCAAATAAATTTCTCGAGCAACCTTTGTTCTTTAGACAAAAAGAGGGAATTTAAGTCAAAATTTATCGCTTTTTTTCATTTGGCTAAAAGTTGCATTTTTTTCATTGAAATTGAGGTAGATTTTTGATAATGAATGAAAAAAAATTGATTTGTTAAACGACTTTTGGAAAACGCTTAACTTGAAGCATCCTTTTTTGAGAAACATTGCTAATGTAGAAGTAAACTAATTTCCCTTATTCGTTTAGAGATCACCTTTAAAAATTTACTTTCAAAAAGCTAGTGTTTAAAAGATTTACCACCAATTTTGCTTACTTAGTTGGTTTTCAAAAAAATTAGAAATTTCCTTTTTAATTTTTTAAAAACCTTTTGTTTAACTGTATTTGAAATAGCCTATCTTGATGATAACGTGACGTACTTTGTGCTCTTGCAAACGCCCAGCCTCTAGCATACTCAATTCCTCGCTTAAACCAAAGAAATAGGTGCGTTTGCAAGAACACAAAGTACGGGATTGAATTGTTAAAAGAGGTCAACTAGCGGTTTTAATTTTACTTCTTAGCTGAGAACTTTGAAACATTTAAAAAGCAAAACACTCACGTTATGGCCAAGGGATTTGGCGATTTGCCAGAAAAGTCCGGATCCGTTTCGCATCGGTGAAAGAATCGGTGGCGGGGTGTAGGCAGAGATCCCACTCTCGCACAGTCTCGGCGTTCTCAGTTGGCTGAAAAATTTGAAAATAATTTCAATACAATGAAAATTAGTTTAACGATAAAAAAAGAACTTTGCTTGAAACATTGGATTTAAAAGTCGATAATGATTAAGACTATTTTTTTCCGGGATTAAGGCAATCAACTTAAAACAAAACAATTGGGCTTTATTTTGCTGTAATAACTCGTTGTTACAAGAGGAATGCGAGCTTCCAGTTTGCCAGAAAGAATGTGCTGACATTTTTCGAGCACAAAGGACACCTTGAACTTATTGTGAACGAACGGATTCGAATCGACCATAATTATTGATATTAGGTGTGTGAAAAAGTAATCCACGTTTTTAACGTTTAAATATAAAAGACCATAAGTTTCGTTAAAATAATTTTTATTCAACGAAGTAATCACCATTCGAAAGAACAACCTTTTGCCAACGCTCTACAAGTAAAGACATTCCACGATAATAAAAATCTTGGTCCTTAGAGGCGAAGAAAAGATCAACCTCGGTTTTGACATCTTCGGAATTGAACCGTTTATTGGCCAAAAAGTTTGACAGACACAAAAATAAATAATAATCAGATGGAGGAAGGGCTGGACTATAAGGTGGATGTGGTAAAACCTCCCATCCAACACTCTGGATTTTTTGTCGAGTCTGTAAAGAGACATGTGGTCGCGCGTTATCGTTCATGCGGTATCCATTTGTCCAACTTTTTGATAAAATTCATGGCATTCAAGCGTTTCCTTACGGTTGACCCATCACAATTTAATGTAAGGCCTATTTCTGAAGAGGTTGAACGAGGGTTTTCGAAAAGACAGCGTCTTATTTGGTCATCAGATAAAAATAAAAAAACGTGGATTACTTTTTCACACACCTAATATAACACAAAATCAAATTCGAATCGACCATTACATTAAATCGACCGGGAATCAACTTAAAACAAAACAATTGATATATTGATAACACAACTGATCATTGATATGTCGTAGCCGATTATGAATGAGCGGGTCCGGATGCGTCCAATCATCAAGTATTTGGTATCATTCAACGCAGAATCATTAATAATTATGTTAAACTTTTAAAATTAGAAAGATTGGGTAAAAAGAAAAAAAAATTATGGGGCCTCAAAGTTTCCTCTTGAACAAACAGTTTTTTTGCTCTAATTTTTTTTCTTTTTATCAAATCTTTCTAATTTTCAAAATTTAACATAGTTATTAATGATTCTGCGTTAGATGATACCAAATACTTGATGGTTGGACGCTCCTAGACCCACTCATTCATAATCGGCTACGGGGTCCAGCCGATTTTGAAAGAAAGGTTGTAGCGCCGGCAATTTTTAACCTAAACTCACAAATTTGGTACCAATCGACGCAGAATTGAATTCGCTACAGGATGATATAATATTGTCCTCATACATTAAAGGGTTGCTCTACTAGAAAGATTTACCAAAAAATTTCATTCATAATCGGCTACGACAGATATAACACAAAATCAAATTCGAATCGATCATTACATTAAATCGACCGGCAATCAACGTAAAACAAAACAACTGATATATTGATAACACAACGGATTATCGATACAAAACAAAATCAAAAAAATCGACTCCACTACCGATTTAAAAATGGCAAAGTTATGTTAAAATTTGAAACATTAATTTGAAAAATTGCTCCAAATAAGCAATTTTCAACAATTTTCACAATTTTCACAATTTTACTATGAAAAAGATTTCAAAATCGACGTTTTTTTTTGTCAAAATTGGTCAAAATTGGCTGCTTCATATCGATTTGCAAAAAAATTTTTGTCATAGGCTGTAATTTCTTAACCCATTCGAAACTTCTGCAGCGAATAATCGCTGCAACAAAAACTCAGGAACGGACCGCTGCAGCGATTATTCGCTGCAGCGCTAATTGAGCTATTTTCATTCAATTAATTGCTTTTTTTTTGCTGTTTTTCAGCATTACATGTATATTCCAATCGTAGCAGATCTACAAATTACGTGGGCAAAAAAGATGTTTCATATTTACCCGGAATCAATGCAGTCTCTGGTTTTGCATTGAAATGTTCCATAATAGCTCTAATCTTCTAAAGCCGATCTCCTGCAGGATCCAGTTCATTATCACAAAAACGCAGGTTGCGAAGAATAGATTCAAATTTTGCTCTTGACATAATGTGGGTCATGTGGGAAAATCCTCCTAATCCAGGCCTGCTACTCCAGTAGTCACGAATCCTCGGTAATTTGACGATTCCCATTTGAAGCCAGGAAGAGCTTGAAAGATTTTGCATCGAAATCCTGCCAGTTTGTTTTCCTTTCTCCATGTTTATTAGATTCGCCTACTAAAATATTGTCGTCGATAAAATAAGAACAATAATCGATAGGATCTTGAAAAGTACTGAAGTCAAATCCAAATCGTTCTTCATCAAAAATAAATGGTGTAGGAGACTCTCTTACATCTTTCCAACCATAAATAAACTGCTTCGGAGTCAAAAATGTCAAAAAAGGGCTTGGTCCGTAGACGAAAAAAAAGAAAAAACGCTGCGGCTTCGAATGGGTTAAACAATTCCCCCAATTTCTACACCAAATAATTGACGGGATTTTGCGAGAAATGAAAAGAAAACTTATCGAAAAATTCTGTTTCAAAAACTTTCGATATTCAATCGATTTTCAAATGTTTAATTGTATACTTTCAAGAATTTCTTAAAGTAAAGATTAGCAAAGACTTGAAAGCAAAGATTTCCCACCAAAAGCAGGTGCTTTCGCTATGCCGTATGACAAATAAAAACGTAAAAGCGTTTAATTGGATAGATTTTATTTTGTCGATTAAACATCACATGGAAAAGTTGAGCTAAACAATAAAAAAAAAAACAATATATTGTAGAAATGGTTAGTGAAAAATGAAGTTTCAAATTGAAGTAAGTGAAAAAATTTACAGCTTTAATTGACGTTTCTAATATATTCCTTTTTCCAGTAGACCAAAAAGTCAGTCAATAGACTGGGTAGCTTTTAAACTAAAGATATTTAGTCTAGTCAATTGAATAGTAGTGCACCGCGCCGAGTTTGTGACTATTTTACAGTTTCCAAGCTTTTGCAGAAGCTGAACACTCAAATCCCCCACAAGATCTCATCGTCAGCTACATTTTCCGACCCCACATCGATAGGTTCTGATAAGCGCTTCTCGAGATTTCGAGGAATTTAGGCAACGCTCAGGGTGCACTACTATTAGAGAGAATACGGTAATATCATTTATATCAGAATAAGGTAATATCAACGGAAAATTTAACTATAACAGAGGAAACTTTAACAACTTAGATAGCAGCAAAAAAACTGGGGAGGAATACAATGGTGTGGACGGGCTTTTATGGCACGCATTTAATCGGTATCGAGTTCATAACAAACAAAATGAACTCTGTTTATTACAAAAAAGGTTTTGGAAAAGCATATATTGCTGTGACGTCCGAATCTGACCACATTACCGTATTCTCTCTAATAGTAATGCACCCGGCCGAGCCGAGTTGATCACTATTTTACAGTTTCCAAGCTTTTGCAGAAGCTGAACACTCAAATCCCCCACAAGATCTCATCGTCAGCTACATTTCCCGACCCCACATCGATAGGTTCTGATAAGCGGTTCTCGAGATTTCGAGGAATTTAGGCGACGCTTAGGATGCACTACTATTAGAGAGAATACGGTATTCAATTCTAATATCAAAAACTTTGAAACAAAAAGAAAAATCCAATTTTGTGCTTGAAAATTCTTGGAAAAAGAAGTGTGCAAAAAAAGGAAATCCGTTTTTTTGGCTTTGCTGCAATTTGGATCATCAAAAAGCAAAAAAAAGGAAAGAAAAATGTAGATTTCACTTTTTTTACTTCTAAAGCTTCAAAAATCGAGTCACAAAAAGGGTAAGAGCTAGTTTTTTGTCCCTTGCCATTCAAGTGTCAAAAATAGTCGACTGTTCACTTTTTCTAACTTTCTCTTAAAGATCTTTGAGCATTGGCAAGTTTTTGGTAAACTTTTCTGAGAATTCTTTTATTTTTATTGAATTTAAAGCTGATTTTTTGCTTCCTAGACAAATTTGTTTTTTTGTTTGTGACAAATTTGTTCTTACTTTTGTTTTCAAATTTACAAAACACCAGCTTTAAAACAATAAAAAAAACAAGATGATTAAAAAGAAAATTCGGCTTTAAAATCCCGCTTTAAAAGCCTTTAATTGCCTTTAATAATTAAAAGCCTTTATTCCCTTTAAAAAGGGAATAAAATTCGGCTTTAAAAACAAATTTTTAGTGAATGAAAGAAGGATTTTTGAGAAAGAGAGCTTAAAGCAAAAAAAAACCCTTTGAAAAATGTTGAGTTTCAATGAAAAGAAAAAGCAATGATTTAATTGCTTTTAATGAAAAGAAAAAAAATAACGTTTAATTGGTTGGCAATGGTCGGCTTTTTTGCTCATAATTTAAATTGAGATTTCAATTTGCACATTATGATTTTACAAAGCGATTTCTATAAATTTTTCAAGAATTAAGCACAAAAAAGAAGCGGGGAAAGTGGAGGGGAAAGAGTGTAATTTCTCCGTCTTTTGCAGCCGTCTCAAACGGGGGGCAAATTGCAAAAAATTCCCGTCGTTTCGTTGCTTTTTTTGTTGCTTTTTTTAATGTTTTTTTTTTTCGAGTCCTCTTCGAATTTCGATCAATGTTTTTCTCTCGTTTCAATTTGAAACCAAAAGCTTTTTGCGCGTTTCAGTTATAAATTTTGCTGCAAAAATTGCCTACATTCAAATCAGTTGGGGATTTGATGGCGGGGAAAAGGGATAATGGATAATTGTAACGAAACGATAGATAATTGCAGCTTTTGGTGGTGAAATATTTATTTTGAGGAAGAAAATTGATAGGTGAAAGTAGAGAAAGGGGATTTCGATAGGAAGTATAATAAAAAAAATAAAGATTTCTTTTAAACTATCGGCTGTTTGTTTAAAACTTGAGTTTTTCGGTGACTTCTTAATCAATTTGACTTCTCAATGAACTTAATCAATCAAAAGACACGATTGGATTGACGAGTTCGTTCTAAAGTTGACTATATTGGATATGAATGTTTAAACATTTTCGTTGAAGGATCTTTCGAATCGTTGAACGATCTTTCGAATCGTTGAACTATTTCGAATCGTTGAATCTTTCGAATCTTTCGAATCGTTGAACCTTTCGAATCGTTGAACTTTGATTCGTTGAACTTTCGAAGATCGTTCAACGAAAATGTTTAAACATTCATATCCAATATAGTCAACTTTAGAACGAACTCGTCAATCGTGTCTTTTGATTGATTAAGTTCATTGAGAAGTCAAATTGATTAAGAAGTCACCGAAAAACTCAAGTTAGTGATCAGTTAGTGATGATTTTCGATCATAAAATTCCATTCTTTTGTATCAAAAGCAAAAAAAATCCCCAAAAACTGAGCACATTTTCCAAATGCGGCGTGGAAAAGTGATCGTTTTCTTTTTTTTTCTATTTATTTTTCCTAGAAAATGTTCG